TTTTTGTCTGAAATTTTCAGAAAAACACTTAGTGAAGTATGTTCACGCTAAGTTTGTTAAATCAGAATGCGTCTGGACTATCCAAGTAGTCTCAGAACCAGGCCACTATTTGAGGCCGGGCGTAGTGGCTCATGCCTGTAATCCCAGCACTTTGGGAGGCTCAGATGGGCAGATCACTTAAGGCCAGGAGTTCGAGACCAGCCTGGCCAACATGGTGAAACCCCATCTCTACTAAAAATACAAAAATTAGCTGGGTGTGGTGGTGGACGCCTATAGTCCCAGCTGCTCAGGAGGCTGAGGCATGAGAATCACTTGAACCTAGGAGGCAGAAGTTGCAGTGAACTGAGATCGCACCACTGCCTGAGTGACAGAGCGAGACTTTGTCTCAAAAAAAAAAAAAAAAAAAGAACCAATCCACTGTTTAATTTCATTTGAGTCTTTCCAGTGGGTTTATTCCCATTAGTTGGGTAACTCCCCTGCTTTTGTAAATATGAGGGTATCTCAGGAAGAATAAGTCCCAAAACAAGACTCCTTGAGTTCCAACCAAAGATGAAACCAAGAGGTCCTCACATGTGACCAAGACATTTTCTGCTTTCTACTTTCACTTTCTTTTTGTTTATTTTTTAAATCGAGATGTAAAAGTTGTACGTAGTTATGGTATACAGCAGGAAATTTTGATATATGTATACATTGTGGAATGTTTAAATCAAGCCATTTAACATATGCATGGCCTCACACACTTATTGTTTATAGTGAGAACACTTAAAATCTACTCTCTTAGCAATTTTCAAGTATGTAATATATTGATTCTAACTTCAGTCTCTAGTCACCACGATGTTCAAGAGAACTCTTGAACTTACTCTCCCTCTCTAATTAAAATGTGGTGTCCTTTGACCAGTGTCTCCCCAGTCCTTTCACTCCCCACCAGCCCCTGCTAGAACTGCCATTCTGCTCTCTGCTTCTGTGAGTGTGATTGTCTTCCATTCCATATACAGGCACACCTCATTTTATTGCACTTCCCTTTACTATGCCTTATAGATACCGTGTTTTTTACAAATTGAAGATTCACGGCAACCTCGCATCAAGTGAGTCTATCAGCACCATTTTTCCAATAACGTGTGCTCACTTTGTGTCTGTGTCACAATTTGGTAATTCTTGCAACATTAAGCTTTTTTATTATGATTATATTTTTATGGTGATCTGTGATTGGTGATCTTTGATGTTACTGTTGTAATTGCTCTGGGGGTGCCCAACTGCACCCGTATGAGACAATGAACTTAATCACTACATGTTGTGTGTGTTTGTTTTCTGACTGCTTTACCAACCAGCCATTCCCCCCATCTCTTTCTCTCTCCTTGGGCCTCTCTATTCCCTGAAATGACAGCTATATTGAAATTGGGCTAGTTAATAACTCTGCAGTAGTCCCTAAGTGTTCAAGCAAAAGTAACAGTCACATGTCTCTAACTTTAAATCAAAAACTAGAAATGATTAAGCTTAGTGAGGAAGGCATGTTGAAAGCCAAGGTACACTGAAAGCTAGGCCTCTTGTGCCAAACAGCCAAGGTGTGAATACAAAGTAAAGGTTATTGAAGATTAAACATGCTACTCCAGAGAACGCACAAATGATAAGAAAGCAAAACAACCTTATTGCTGATGTGGAGACAGTTTCGGTGGTCTGAATAAAAGATCCAATCAGACACAACATTCTCTTAAGCCAAAGCCTAATCCAGAGCAAGGACCTACCTTGCTTCAAGTCTGTGAAGGCTGAAAGAGGTGAGGAAGCTGCAGTAGAAAAGTTTGAAGCCAGCAGAGGTTGGTTCAAGTCCATAACATAAAAGTGCAAAGGGAAACAGCAAGTACTGATATAGAAGCTGCAGCACGTTATCCAGAAGATCTAGCTAAGATCATTGATGAAGGCAGCTACACTAAACAACAGATTTGCAGTGTAAACACCCTTATATTGGAAGAAGATAAATCTAGGGTTTTCATAGCTAGAGAAGAGAAGTCAATGCCTGGCTTCAAAGCTTCAAAGGACAGGCTGACTCTCTTGCTAGGGGCTAATGCAGCTGGTGATTATAAGTTGACACCAATGCTCATTTACTATTCTGAAAATCCTAAGGCCTTTAAGAATGATGCTAAATCTATTCTGCCTGTGTTCTATAAATGGAACAACAAAGTCTGGATGGCAGCACATCTGTTTGCAGCATGGTTTACTGAATACTTTAAGGCCACTGTTGAGACCTACTGCTGATGAAAAAAAATAATATTTCTTTCCAAATATTACTGTTCATTGGCAATGCACCAAGCCATCCAAGAGCTCTGATGGAGATGTACAAGGAGATTAATGTTGTTTTCATGACTGCTAGCACACCATCCATGCTGTAGCCTATGGAACAAGAAGTAATTTCAACTTTTCAGGTCTTATCATTTAAGAAATACATTTCCTAAAGCTATAGCTGTCACAGAGAGTGATTCCTCTGATGGATTTGGACAAAGCAAATCAAAACCCTTCTAGAAAGGATTCACCCTTCTGGTTTCCATTAAGAACATTCGTATTTCATGGAAAGAAGTAAACATATCAACATTAATGGGAGTTTGGAAGAAGTTGATTCCAGCCCTCATGGATGACTTTGAGAAGTTCAAGATCCCAGTGTAGAAAGTAACTGCAGATGTGGTGGAAATAGCAAGAGAACTAGAATTAGAAATAGAGCCTGAACATGTGACTGAATTGCTACAACCTTATGATAAAACTTTAGTGAATAAGGAGTTGCTTCCTATGGAAGAGTAAAGAAAGTGGTTTCTTGAGAATGGAATCTACTCCTAATGAAGATGCTGTGAACACTGTCGAGATGACAGCAAAGAATTTAGAATATTACATCAACATAGTTGATAAAGCAGCAGCAGAATTTGACAGGATTGACTGTAATTTTGAAAGAAGTTCAACTGTGGGTGAAATGCCATCAAACAGCATCACACCCTACAGAGAAATCCTTTGCAAAAGAAAGAGTCAATGGATGTAACAAACTTCATTGTCTTATTTTTAAGAAATTGCCATAGTCACCCCAATCTTCAACAATCACCACCCTAATCAGTCAGCATCCAACAATATCAAGAGAAGACCCTCCTCCAGCAAAAAGATTAGGACTCACTGAAGGCTCAGATGATCCTTAGTATTTTAACAATAAAGTAATTTTTAATTAAGGTATGTACCTTGTTTTTTTAGACATAATGTTATTGCACACATCATTGACTCCATATAGTGTAAACATAATTTTTATGTGTACTGGGAAACCAAATATTTCTTATGACTTGCTTTATTGTGGTGGTCTGGAACCAAACCCACAATATCTCCAAGTTCTCCCTACTTAAGTGAAGACACGTGGTATTTTGTCTTTCTGTACCTGACTTATTTCACTTAACATAATGTTCACCAGGTTTGTTCATGTTGTCACAAATGATAGGATTTCCTTCTTTGCTAATGCCGAATAGTATTCCATTATGCCCATATACTGCATTTCCTTTACCCATTTATCTATTCATTGATGGATGCATAGGTTGACTCCATATCTTGGCTACTGTGCTCTCCCTTTCTTTTGTGCTGGGTAAGGAGTGAGTCTTGGTGAATCCTTGTCATTGCTCTGGGTTTTTCTGGCCAGACGTCTCTAAAATGTGTCCCCCAGCTGATGGGAGGTCTCTGCCTCCTCCTTCTGTCCCTTCCCTGGAAAGAGCACCAAGGAAGAGGTCCTTAATGACCAGTCCTGCCTCTCAGCTGAGCACTCTCCTCCTCCCTGACCAGCTCCTCCTAACAGGAGGGAGGTTGGCCTTCTCTCTTGGAACAGCCAAGCTTTCCAATGTAGCTGAACTGAATTCCACTTCAATGGATAAATAATATTTTGTTCACTGACAAGTCCTCTTTTCTAATGGACCAGGATTTTCCTACCCTTGATGGGGACAGATCTGTTTGGAAGGGACCGCAAGTTTCTAGGAATTAGCTGGAAATCAGGGGTGAAATTATTGGCCAAGGCCAGAATGTATAACAGATGCCCCTGGGAGCCGAGGAGAAGAGGTGGCACCTTGCTGCAGTACCTACGCCTCCTGGGTGTTAGTTACATATCCTGTGATGTGGTTCCCAAGAACTCCTTCCAGGACAAGGTTGTGGCCCTGAAATGCACAAACTGACCCAATTGCATTATTGCCTGTTTTTTTAAATTAAACTTTTTATTTTGAGATACGCATTGATTCTGATGCAGATGTAGGAAATAATGTGCTATTTACCCAGTTTGCCCCAAAGGGAACATCTTGCAAAACTATAGTGCAATATCACAGCTGTGACATTGACATGGCTACAATCCCCTGATTTTATTCATATTTCCCAATTTCACTTGTGCCCCATGTGTGTATGTGTGCATTTAGTTCTATACAACTTTATCACATGTGTTAAGATGTGTCAAAATACGGAACCATTCTGTCACCATGAAGATCCTTCCTGTTGCCTTTTATAACCACACCTCCCTCGTTCCCTCTCCTCCTTCATCTTTAACCCCAGCAACTACTAATCTGTTCTTTGTCTCTATAATTTGTCATATCAAGACTGTTACATAAATGAAATAATATGGTTTATAATCTGGAGCTTGGCTTTTTCACTCATCCTAATTCCCTTGAGATTCATCCAAGTTGTTAGGTAGAAGAACAGTTTGTTCCTCCTCATTGCCGTGTCTGGTTTTAATCATTAAGCACACCAACATGGCACTCAAGCCCAGTTACAAATCCTTTGGGACATGATCCTCAGGGATCTTTTATTCTAATAGAGCCCATATGTTTTGTTTGGTGCTTCTGAGTTTGGGGGGGCGGGTGGGACATGCTGCAAGTTCTTCCAGGTACACGCAAACATACCTAGGTTCCTTCATCTCTTTCCCCAAAACAGTGATCAATTGGATTGTAATATTCTTTAGCACTGGTTGACAGCCCTTCCTTGTGTCTCCTTGTCACCTTCCTCCCCAGGAGCACATCTACAAGCTGATGAAGAGTGACAGCTATGCCCGCTTCCTCCGGTCAAATGCTTATCAGGACTTGCTGCTGGCCAAGAAGAAGGTATCTTTGGGAAGGGCAAGCTTGCTCTTCTTAGCACTGTTGACTCTTGCCTGCTGCTTGCTGCTGGTTTGAAATGAGAATATCATCCCTTGGGTTTTATTTATTTCCTTTTTTCTTCTTTCCCTTCTCTATCTGCTCCCATTCTAATGGAAAACAGTTAGAATTGTCACCACCCCAGCTCCACTGCAAGGTCCAGGATGGGGCATCCTGCCTCATCCCTATTGCCTCTCGCTGCATGTCCTGCCCATGGTAGGGTAGGGGGTGGGTACATAGGGTGACTAAACACCAAGGCCATAGTGGCTCAGCATAGGAGGGCAGGGCTGGCAGTAACACGTGTAAAACCCTTAGGACACCGGAGAGAGCCCCTCACTGCAAAGTCCAGCCCCCTCACCTCAGACTTCTCTCCCTGACCAGCCCAGAGAGGAGTATGAGGCCAGGATTGGGGCAGTTCCCTCACTGGACAGAAAGCCTTGTCAGTTTCAAGAGCACGATCAAGTACCTGAAGTCATCCTGGGGTTTCTCCCTCCTTGACACCCCTTTCCTCTCCCTCACCTGCCCCACGGTGTTGCCTTTCTCTCTTAACCAAGAAGTAACTGCACCCAGCTCCTTCCTCCTCCTTAGAACTCGGCCATGGTTCCTTGCAGCCCATAGAGTCACGGATTTGGGGCGCAGGGGCCCTCAGCATGCAGGTGAGGGGTGACAGAAGCAGGGATGAACTCAGCTAGAGTCCTGGGAAGAGTGGAGGAAGAGCAGGCAGGAGAATAGGGTCCAGGAAGGGAATGGAGGGCAAGAGAGAGGGCTCCTGGTTTCAGTACACCTGCCCACCCTTTGTGCTTTTCAGTTCTGATCTGAGGCCCATGTGTGGTTAAGTGTGGCTCAACTTGCACCAAACCCCATGACTTCTGTGCCATGGCACTTAGGAGCACATGCAACCCTTTCTTCTCCCTCCTGGCCTCCCGGCCCCAGGTCCTAAGCACATGGTTGCCCATCACACGCTCTCCGTTGGGCTGCCTCTCAGCCACGCAAGCCTTCTCTCTGTGTACTGTCACCCTCACGTGCCAGGATCCTGTCTGCGTATCTGGTTGGGACCACACAACTCCAGAGTCCTGGAGAGCGTTTATACCCTGCTCTCGTGCCCTTGTGTAGCCCTGGGAAGAGGCCATAGAGTCTGAGAAAGGGAAGAGGACTTCTGGGGCATCCCGATTGTCAGCAGCCCAGCTCTCTGGGTTTCCTGCGTCCCTCCCCTCAGGTGTGGCTACTGTGATGGGCAGTGTGGAGCCTGGCCTCCTGTCGACTCCCCTGATGGAGGATGTCCGTGGAGGGGCTCCTTTGGAGGAGGCTGACGCCCTCACACATGGCTCTAATGCCCATTTTTTCTAAGAACTATAGGAAAGAAAAGTGACAGGAGCTTTTGATAACTCCAGCCCAGATCTCATGGGTGAAGGTCAAAGTAAGTTTTTCTTATTTTCTGTGGCTCAAGACACCTGACCTGATCACAATTTGGTGACTTTCTAAGGCTCTGGCAGTTTGACCAATCTGGGCCTGTCTACACAGCTTGAAGAAGAGAAGCTAGAGGCCATTCATTCTCCTTGTGGGTTTGAACACAAAGGAAAAATGCACCCCGAACCCTGCAGATCTGTGTGCAGACCCTGTGGTTGCAGATCCTCCCTTCCAAGAAGAAAACCTCTCAGAGGAGGTCATTCGAGTGAGGAAGGAACTGGCAAGCTGTCTGGGAAAAGTTCCTTAGAATTATCCTCCCAGCTCCCGGAGTAAGGGATGTTCTTGAGACAGAAAGCCCTTGCAGATACCAACAACATCTCAACACCGAGTTGTTTCCCAAAACAGTGACAAAATGTGCTTCCTCCTTCTATTTCTTCCTGAGAGTCTCCACGTATGGATCTGATTTGTAACTCGGCACTTTCAGGTAGGCCTAGAGTATTCTTCTGATTTCAGAGACGGGTTCACCGTATCCAGGTCATAAAAGGTATGTGAGATTCGCAACCTCCAGTGGAGAGAGGGAATATGAATCGGCCTCACTTTTCTGCTGAGAACTGACCTGGACGGAGTCTTGAGGCACAGCCTTCTGATCCTTTATCCCTAATTCAGCCTCTTTTCTAATATTTTCAAAATAAATGGTAGTCACACCGAAGAACCAGGTTCTCAGGGTGTAGGTGAGCTGAGTCCTGAGGGCTACTCTAGGAAACTTCAGTACCAATGATGATGGTTTTCCAGGCAGCTCAATGGCCAGTGCAAGGCAGAGAAGCCCAAGTGAGCCAGACCAGTGGCCACCCTCTGTGAGCCAGAGGACAAGAATGATAGGCCAAGAATGACAGCTGCAGGGCCCAGGACTGGCCTGACTTGAGCCAAGTGTATGCCACCCAGGCTGGCCACAGGGTTCAAGCTGAGTCCTGCCATCCCCAGAATAGACTTGGTACCCAGGGCCAAGCATGAGTCCTTCCATTCCTAGTGCAAGAAGAAAGCCCAGCCCAACTCTGTGGTGGCGTGTCATTTGTGTTTATTTTCCTTCTGCAACCTCCTGTCTGTCTTCCGGCAGCTGGCTGAGCTGACAAGGGGCCCAGCTCCAAGGAAGTCCCCCAACTTCATCCACACAGGCAGCTGCCTTTGGCCTGTCCCCTCTGCTTTCAGCACAGTCCGCACACCCACAGACACCAGGCTGCCTCTTCAGCCCTGTCATTTCAGTTATTTGCTGGGTGTATGTGTGTGTCTATGTGAGTGTGTGCACTCTCTGAACTTCTCAGCCTCGGGCTCAGGACCCTGGAATGGGCTCCAGGATACACTAGCAGGTATTTGGGCAGTCATTCTACTCTCCCGGAACCCCTGCAGGTAGGAAATGTGGGGTGAAGGGAAGGTCAGGAACACCCCATACCTCTCTTCCTCCTGTAGTAGAAGGAGGCTAGGCCTGGAAGGACATAGGACATTCAAGGGCTTTGCCTCTCCTCACCCCTGTTCTGGGCACCCCTGCTAAGAGTTCCCCACGATGGTTTCTGAGCTTCCTCTAGCCTGTTGTATGTACATCTTGGCAGGTGTTAGGTCACCTTTTGGATACTGAGAAAACATTTTCTGTTTCTCAGAACAATCCCCATGTTATTGTCTTCTGAGACCCAAGACCCTTTGTCCATGGCAAAGGCTATGAGTAGACCCTCCTTGCTCTAAGGACACAGAACGACGGTCACTAGGAAGTCACTGAAGTTAGCAATCTTTCTGGCTGCCTCTGGGCAGGGGAATCTCAAGAGAGAAAACAGTCCTAAGGCAGATTCATGGATGAGTAGATGACTTCGCTTCCCCAGCAGCCACTTCCTGACATCCCTCCCACACCCCGCTGGCCCTCAGAGCTAGTCTGTTCTGTGTCAGGACTTGGGGCCCCCACCACCAGGACTCCTGCCTGTGGGCACAGCAGGTTGAAAGCAGCAAGCAAGCTGCTCAAACCCACCGACTGTGGTCCTGTGCAAAGTCGCGATGGTTCTGATCCAAGCCCCGCAAGCACAATTCATGGTCCCTGGAGAAGCAAAGCCCCCTCTCTGCTCACTACTCCAAGGTGGTGGCACCATTTCTCGTGGGCTTCTGTCTTCTGTCTCTCCCACTGACTCTTCCAACAGCTCTGGCTGCTTCTCTTTTCCCATTTTTCACCCCATTTTGCTTTGGTTTTTGTTACTCTTTAGTTGCGGCTGCTGCTGTTTGGAAACCACGTGTAAGCTGAAGACTTTTTTTTTCTGTATTTTTCTCCCTACCTTTTTTTTTTTTTTTTTTTTTTTTTTCCCTAAAGCCAGAAAGTGAGCAAGGTCGTAGAACTTCCCTAGAAAAGTTCACTCGCAGTGTGGTAAGTTCAGTCGGTTTTCTTCCCTCAACTTTTCTTTTGATTTTGGTTTTGGTTTTTTCTTTCTTCTTTCTTTCTTTTTTTCCCCCTTTGGTTGTTGTTTCCTTCGGGGTGGGAGGGAGTCCAGTGCTTTCTCCCTTGACTCAGCCCTTTTCTTTTCTTTTGCGAGTGTCTGCAGCTTCTCTTCTAGGGATGAAAATGCAAAAAGAGCAAGCGGCTCCCTCTGCAGAAGGTGCACACTTGATTGCCCAGCCTCGGGCCTGGGCATTTGATCTTCTGTTTAGGGCTTTGAGGAGGAGGGACTCTGCTGCCCTCAGGGCTGTGCGGTTTGTGCATCTTCTGCAGCAGCCCAGGGAGAAGCCATCGAACTATACCGTGAAATAAATTGGCTCAGAACTGTAGCTCATCGAAAAAAAAAAAAAAAAAAAAAAACAAATTTCCCTCTGTGAACCCTGGCAGTCACGCCGGTGTAGGTTGTGAGCTAATGTTGCTGTGTAGGTGGCTTTTGCTGTGTGCAGAAAGCGGCTGTGCTGCATGGGTCCTGGTGATGTGGCCTAGCTGGCGTGTGTGTTAGTTGCCTCTGCATGAATCCCTTCCAGCCCCCATCAGCCTCATGTGCACAGTGTGACTGGGAGAGGAGGGAAGTAGCTGAATCCCTGCGGCATCCTGGGTACTCCCCTGGGGGGATGGGGAGGGGGGCAAGGTCCTACCGGCCTCCTCAGGCCTTGATTCTGACAGGCTGGGTAAAGATGGGCTTCAGATTCCTACAGGTTCGTGGTATGCCCCATCTAGAGAGTGGTAGAGCTCCCCACAGTGGCACAGAAAGACAGCCGTGGCAACAGGCAGGAGTGGGGAGTCCGTGGCTCTTCCCTGGGGTGCATGGCTGAGGCTCTCGACCATGGTTTGTAGAACAACACAGGCCAATACCCTCTTTCGATGCTGGTCGCCCCAAGATTTGAATGTCGAGCTCAGGGCACAAGAAATACTCAATCCCACTGAATCGTGGGGCCGTCCTATAACATGAACATCAAACCAGAGGGAACCAAGATAGCAACCAGGGAGCAGGGGTCCCACGCAGGGAACAGACCACATTCCCTTCCCAAAGGGTGGCAGTCCATTGATACTGACTTGCCTTTGTTCCACCTCTGTTGAAGAGGAAAATCCTTGTAAAACCTGACTACTGTGTGACTGGTATACATATTTCATCCTTTCAAGAAAAAGTCTAAGGATCCTGGGTTGAAAGCAACCTAGTCATTTACCTGTCATAGCTAGATGCATTTTAAGTGCATTTAAACATTATCTTGAATTTGCTACATGTAAACATCAAATAACTCTAGTAGGTGGCAATTAAACATCGGTATTCATCCCTTCCGTTCCTCAGTCTTCCCTCTCTGTGGCCTTTCCTCATGAGAAATCAGAACGTGCAGAACACAAGGCCTGTGGGTGCCTCGTCTGTCTTCATGGCTGGTTTGCCATGGCCATGTGGCTCCGCACACCAAGAAGCTGTCAAGGGCTGTCAGAGGCAAGGCCTCTGGGACTTCCTTCGCTCCACGATGGCCTGAGAGAAGGTAGTGGGATCCCATCTCTCTCTGTCTCTTTTGAGGCCTGGTTACTATGCGGGTAGAGGATGTTTAGGGATTTTGCTGACAAGCCAAGAGTGCTTGTGGCTCTCAGGTACAAACTGTAAGCAGAGCCTTGACAGCCCCCCGGAAGCTCTTCAGGGTGACCGTGCAGGCCGCGGGTGCGAGAGATGAAGCCTGGTACTTGGACAAAACGTCCAGACATCTTCAGGCTGTTTTTCCAGAGAAGTGAGTATCAGGAAAGGCAAGAATGGTCTCGCCGAAGCTCTGTGAGGAGCGTTTATTGATTTCCCTTCATCCCAGAAGTGGCGTTGGCTTGGGGGTTCTCCAAGGTCTGTTAGCAAAGCATTTGGAACAAGAAACCACCAAGACACCCCTAAGTGTCTGAAGTGCACACATGGGAGAGCTTCCAGAGAGAGTTTCAGGGTAAGCTGAAGGAGAAAAGTATCCTAAGCTCCGGAGGGTATGGATAAAAGGCCCAAACCGGAAAAAAAAAAACAAAAACCTGAGTTCCTAAATTCCTTGCCGCTCTTTTATGAACAAGAGACTGTAATAGGTGATGCATTCAGAATTTGGGGTTCCAGTGGTGGAGATGTATTGCCATCCATCCATGCTCCTCGTGTTCTTGGGGTGACACCATACCCCCACAAGATGTGGCTAAGTTTGGGGATATGGCCCATGGCTATAGAAGTTTGGGGATATGACCCATGTGTTGGCTCTCAGATTACTTAAGGCTGGAACCCAGGAATCTGGTCTCAACAGCCCAATGGTCTCATCAAACAGAACTAACTGACCAACCACTATGCCTTGCAATTTGATAGCCATTCTCTGAATACCATATGCATTAAGTACTTGATTTCTCTAAGAGAAGATCTACGTGAATGTTTTATCTGCTGTATACTGCAAACTATAAAACTAAACAGAGGGCTAGTTCAATAGCATTCCCGTGTTGCTGGAAAAGACGTGTAGAACATGACCCACGTCATGGGGCTAATGATGGAAATCGGGGAGTGAAGCGGGGCAGCTCACAGACCAAGGACCAAAGACATGAGGCCAATTGCCATTTAGGATTAATTGATGGCAAAAAAAAAAAAAAAAAAAAAAGTTGATCCAGGTGATTGGATAGCTCATTCAGCTGGAGGCTTGTCAAGACTGAATCTGATTTCAGAATTTCTCCCCAGAACATGCCAATGTCCTTTCTTTTCTTAGTAGAAGAGAAGCACTTGGAAAAAACAAATTGTTCTTTCCAAGTCTTATGTCATGCCATGACATAGAGGGATTATCTGTTAGGACCACACATGTCCCCTTTTCCATGAGATCCTAAGGAGACATTTAATATGGTTCATGGAAGCTTTTAGGCCATGTTAGTCTGGGTGCCGAAGGGGCCTGGCACTCCCCAGTCAATAGAGAAAGTGCTGTGTGAGCTTCTCTTTCCAATGCAAGCTTCATTCCAGGTCACTCAGGACTTGGATATACAAAGCAAATGTCTGGAGCCGCTGTACTAAGCATTCTGTCATTTTGCAGACTGAGACCACAAACCCTGCTTATTTGATAAGGTAGGCCCAGGTTCTGAACTAAACATGACTAAAGTCCACAGCAGGATGCAACTAGCCTACAATGCACGTTCATCCAAAATGGAAAACAAGACTCCCTCTGGTGGGCCCAGCCCCACAGATGCCCAGCTGGCCAGGCAAAACACAGGCTGGGTTTCAGCCCCTGTTGATCCTCACCTGCCCTTGTGCAGTGAATAACCCACACCACTGTACATGACCGCCCTTGTCCAAGGAGCCTCAGTTTCAGAAAGAGCTATAACACATAGCAGCTTCTCCAAGGCACCCCATACATGGCCTCAGGTCATGTGATTTGGAGCCTGTATCTGCCTAATCCTGCTCACAGGGAAGCTTCCTTTCACAGTGGCTGTCACATATGAAAACCACAGTAGGAGAACTCTGGCTAGTCACTGTGGGTTGCCTTTGCTTCACCTTCCAGCTCTTCTTCAGATTCTTTGATGGGAAGTCTCAGTCGTTACTGACCAAGGAGAGGAGGTGCCTTCTCTCACTGAAGGCTCTTTCCTGTTGCTTGGTGATGACCAGCCTGCCACTCTCTGCTGTCTTCCTGGTTTTGCAGTTGACAGAGGACAATGGGAGCATGAAGGTGGCCAGAGCTAAAACGTTCACCCTCCCACTGCTTCTTGAGACAGAGTCTCACTCTCCCAGGTTGGAGTGCAGTGGCGCAATGTTGGCTCACTGCAACCTCCACCTCCTGGGTTAAAGCAATTCTCCTGCCTCGGCCTCCTGAGTAGCTGGGATTACAGGCACGCGCCACCACGCCCAGCTAATTTTTGTACTTTTAGTAGAGATGGGATTTCACCATATTGGTCAGGCTGGTCTCAAACTCCTGACCTCAAGTGATCCACCTGCCTCGGCCTCCCAAAGTGCTGGGATTACAGGCGTGAACCACCACGCCCGGCCCCCTGCTCTCTCTTAAGTGTGCTTGTTCCTTCAGCTTCCACAGAGTCTACCACAGTGGGGTGGGGGCCTCACCACAGAGGGCCTGGCTCTGACACAGAGGACCAGGAGCACGCATGGGAGGGAGAGGGGGAGAGAGGAAATGGGGCACTCAGCTAAGCCACAGGAGCAGCTCCTTTTTTGAGATACTGGCTGAAGCCATCTGGTGAGAACTCCAACCTGGAGAGGAGAAGCTGGAGAAAGTCCTTTGCTCCTCATGTCTAGTTCCACAGAAAAAGCCACAGAGGGTGATAGCACTGAAGTTAGGAGAAAATGGCAACCCCAAGTGAGGCTGGTGTCGGCCGCCCTGGGTACCTTTGGGCACTCAGTTGAAACCTCACCTGCCCTCTTAAGAGCTTCATCAGCTCCAGCCTTGGGCTCCAAAGATAGAAAATGGAGTTGCTGGTGCCAGAGCAAGCACTGGAGGCTACGGAGGAGAGGGGAGAGGAGGACCAGGCGTTCATCCACCTCCTAAGAGAGCATCGAAGTTTAGCTTTGCCAAGGTGCTCCTTGGAATTGCAGCAGGAAGGGCCGGAAGCTGCAGAAGGCTTGGCACGTGATGGGTGGCATCTCTGCGACAGGCTTTCCTGTCCTGCCTGCCAAGGAATGCAGCAGGCAAGTCAGATGGGGAGCGGGAAGCTCTGGGAGCCAGCTGCCACTCAGCCTCCTCGCCCCCTCCTTCCCTCCCCCTCTTCCTTCCCCTGCCAAAAGCCAAGGAGAGCTAATGAGAGCCAAGAAGTCAACAGCTCAACCACCCCCCTCCAGGCAGCTCTGTAGACAGAAACCCCCAGCTCCAGGCCCAGGTGCTGACCGGAAGTGGAGGGCTGAGGCTCTTGGCAGGGGAGGGAGAAGGCAGACAACCAGGGCAGTCAGCCAAGCAGCAGGAGCAGCTCCTGCCCCCGGGAGGACGATGCTG